GCTCAGTGAAAAAAAAGAAAAATAAATCTCTTTAGACCTAGCGATCCGTTTGGCAGATGAAGCAGAGTTCGCATGTTTCTTGAGTTCTGCATATGAATGGATAATGTGGTCAGCACAATGTTCAGCCGTCTTTACTAACTAGAGTTTGGTACCCGTTAGCAATGGGATTTTCCATTGACTTAAACCGGGATTCGAATTCGAGACTTTCGTGTTAGCAGTCTTGCGCTCTACCGCCAGGCCACGCCGTCCCTTATACGAGCTCGGTATTTAATACACGGACTGTATCGTCGATGTATCAAATTTACAACATGCTTATACTCAATAATCAAAACGCCCATTATATATTTGCTATGTATCGAAATAACCGCTTTTAAACACGAATCAACAATCACCTAAAACATAAAGGTATAAATGCTTCTTCTAACAAGGGTAAGGAGTATGCTTTACTAGCACTACTGTATCCCCTATAATATGTAAGGCATGGTCATCAAACACATGACCCGAGGGCCGCATATGGGCTGCAGTTTTTGTCGTAGTGTATACGACTGAATTCAATAATCTTGTTTAAAAACTATAGGCATCTTAAAATGTATTCTTCAAACAACCATACATTAACTAGACCCTACACGCAAGCCTAATCCAGCGTATGTCTACAAAAACGTTAATCCTAACCACTCGTTTCATCAGGTTAACTTGTTCAAGAAAACAAAAAAAATCCATAAAGACATCTAAATTTACTTTAGCACACATATTCTCTCAACCCTATTTCTTAGTACCACAACCTGTTCAAAGCATAAACCCGAACCACATAATACATACTGCAAAACACATCAAGCATAACATCTTCAGACACCACCTCAGCCGTCACTAGTACCACCACCAAAAAACCACCTCGTCAGCTCAAGTTTAGGGCACGTCACCGCACCGTTTCCCCCCCCCCTTGCGCGCAACGGTGCGTAGCCTTTACATAACATGTACATTATTAGTCTAAATAATGGCTAAAAATAGAAACACTGGTATAGCTTTTAACACAGGTGTACCTCGGGAGATTAATGCAAATTTTATGAACATGTGCGACATAAGGTCATTGCAGGGTCACTAGCATAGAGTCACTCGTTGCGAGATAGATGTAGCTCGGCGCTGGATATCGCTCCGTATATATATATATATATATATATTGGGAGAAGAATTCTGACGCCCTGGGACATACTGATTTATCTGCTAGATTAACCTGTAGAAAGTAAAGCAAAGTGACGTAGCATCATTTCTCTGAGGTGAGGGGGGTGGGGGAGTTGTGTGTATGTGTGTGTGTGTGGTTGAAACAGCGCATATAAAGTTGTGTGTGTTGTGAGATTACGGCTTTCACCCACGCGACCTCCAGGTCGGTGATACCAAACTGATCACGTGTGGCTAATAATAGGGAGAAAAAACACAACAACCTCAAGTAGTGTTGTCGACAACACGACGTGTCTGCTACGGTAAATATGTGTTACAATATCACTGTTAACATTGTTAGTAAGCGAATAAAAGCATAGTGCAATGTTTGTATTGATACACGTTTTCCATGTTAAACATGGGCTATCTGATTATGTAAAAAGAAGCGAAATGTTAAGGTCACTGCATATGGGTAGATGTTCGGCTTTTTAGCATAATAATTAGTATTAGCAATATATATCACCATTTCGTACTGTTCAGTATAACATTTTTGAATTTTGTATTCTATCGTATTCGTAGACACCATACTTAGCAGAATCGTTTTAAAATAATACCTCACATAGCATTTCCTCTATATGTTTAGCATTATCACATATTATATTAGCGATTGACTATACAGTAATTTTGTACAGTATCGTACTCCTACATTTTAGATTTTAACAACACATTGTCACATTTTCTAACATACACCAAACATCATACTTAAGTAACTAAGCTCTCATTTACCTTTCATACATCATACAACTATGTCACATTTCTAATTTACCGATACGAATACTGACACCCCCCCCCCCCACCCCACCCCCGGTCTCATTCCCCCACCCCAGACAGATCAACGACGAACAAGATGCGCCAGACTAAACAAATTAATTTCGCCACATCCGAAAACAACACACCAAACTATCGCCATAATGAAAAACAAAACACCAATAAGGGGAGACTACTACCACTATAAATATAACAGGGGCTATAACCAATATCACCAATGTAGAAAACACAATCACTCTATTCTAATCGTGTGCGGCCTTGGTATATGGTGTTGACACTAATGAATTTATTAGTGTCTATGCGCTGGGCAAAAACAAATTGATAATTACTTGGTAGTTTAATTACAGTCATGTTGCACATGGAACGTGCGTACAACTATTGCGCCCTTTGTCCAACCGTAAAAAGGTAACAATTATATTATGTTATCATTGCATTGATTTCATTTTATCCCGTTGTACTTTGTCGATTATTTTTTCCACCTATTTATTACACTAGTTATAATGTATTTTATGATATAATAATATATAATAATATATAGTAATAATAATATATAATATGTATTTTATTATAATTAACTTAACCCCTGTGATGGTTAAAAAAAAATATTTGTAAATTGTTTTATTGCAAATAAAAAAAAAATTTAAAAAAAAACTAGTTATAATAAGTATAATTTTATTTAATAAGTATGATTTTATATTTGTGATTTTAAAAAATTTCATTGGTCGAAATATTTGTCACGTTTCTCTTCCTACGATTTAAAAAAAAATCTGGAATACAAAACTTCGCTAATTTTTTGTTTCTCACTCTAAACCCAGCGAAACAATTAATATTAGATAACAGCGTATAGAACTTGCACTACCATATCTTTAAGTAAAAATAATTAGTGTACTAGCAACAAAACTCGTGTTTTCATGTAGCGCCTACAAAATTCTTCTCTTTCTCGTCTGGAATTTGTTTCCCTTCCACTTTTCTATTGTTGTTTATTAGAAAATTCGTCTTCTTCCACTTTTCCATTATTGTTCATTAGAAAATTCGTCCGTTTCCACTTTTCTATTATTGTTCATTAGAAAATTAGTCTGTTTCCACTTTTCTATTGTTGTTCATTAGAAAATTCGTCTTCTTCCACTTTTCCATTATTGTTCATTAGAAAATTAGTCTGTTTCCACTTTTCTATTGTTGTTCATTAGAAAATTCGTCTCTTTCCACTTCTCTATTGTTCATGTTATTTTGTTTCCGCCTACCTTAAAACACGTTGAAGTAAATTTCTCCTTCGATGCCTGGTGTGAAACTAAACCAGGTGCAGTAGAGTCTGTCTGTCGGTACAACTACAACTTTTAAGAAATGTTGTTACTGTCTTCACATTCACACACCCAATGCACTGAACACATTTTTTTTTTTACATAAGACCAATGGTTAACTGACACTGAGTTGTATCACACCACCACAGGATACAATACCAACACATATTTCAACATAATTAAAAACATCACATGTAATTTGTTTTTAAAGGTAGTTCTCATCATCCTCAACTAACGCACGCACGCACACATACTTACACAAACGCATACACACGCATACACACGCATATACTCGCATACACCCCTCCCCCATGCACCTATCCAGCATTACCTGATCTACCTCCGATCAACGATAGAAACACCATCAGGCAATAAAAATCACCTGCTGTTCGACACGAGCTGCTGGTAATCGAACACATCAGTTCGATGCTAGAGATAACTACATCCTGACGTCACACGTCGGCCTTACATGGACTGAAGGGGTTCATTAACTTGACCACCACATTAGCCACCATATCATGCACACGTCCATCCTCATACGTACACAACACTAACACACATATTATATATATATATATATATATATATATATATATATATATATATATATATATATATATATATATATATATTTATATATATATATATATACATATATATATATATATATATATATATATATATATATATATATATATATATATATATATATATATATATATATATATATATATATATATATATACTAATAGGCCTATATAACACACACACACACACACACATATATATATATATATATATATATATATATATATATATATATATATATATATATATATATGTGTGTGTGTGTGTGTGTGTGTGTGTGTGTGTGAGTGTGTGTGTTATCACATGGCAGAGAAACATATCTTTACACCTTTTCAAACAGCGACCCATATCACCAGTCACCCTTCGGCCTTACCCTAACACTCGTACCAACTGACCCCCGGGAAAATTTCAGTATGAAGCCCTCCAACTTCAGCCCCACCCTCTTCCCTTTCCCCACAGCAGTGAAAACAATACCAAGTGAAGAGCCCTCGGTCGGGTCTGATAAGACTATATTGGTGATGCTAATCTGTGCACTACACGCGGCCATCACGCCCCCCGAGTACCACGACATCTGGTAGATGTCAGACGTTATTGAACATCAACCACCACCATCACATGTGGTCGTGCGTACACAGACTTAAGTTGGTCGCTACCACCACCACCAGCAGCAGTTGTTGCCGATGTGGACATGCTTGGTTGAGTTTTATGCTGGTTGACATTGTGTTGCATGAAATTATCCACATGTTGGATGACTCAAGTTGGGTTTAATGTAAGGTGGATATGTTCATGCTGGATACTTGACTTATGTGTGTTGGCGTGACGTCTAATGACTTTAAGAAAATCCGTAATATATATATATATATATATATATATATATATATATATATATATATATATATATATATATATATATATATATATACATATGTATTTAGGGATATATATATATATATATATATATATATATATATATATATATATATATATATATATATATATATATATATATATATTACAGTTCAGGGATTGTGTATGTTTGTGTTTTATGTGAATGTATGTGAATGTGCTACTATGCCTTATGGCGACAGTTATAAGCCAATGATCTAAGTCCACTTTACTTTCCTTCCACAGCCTGCACGCCACGCTAGGACTTCGAGTTACCGTAGGATTAAGCGTAGCTCAAGCTGTGAGTACTTTGTTTCTCATCACCTGGGTTGGTGGTTCTCACGGTCGTGTTCTGATCGAACTGTGGTCTTAATAAGTCGACATTTCAACTTTCCAGTGCGAATTGTGAAATTTATTTTTATATGTACAACCAAAATATATTTTCAAAATTTTTTTTTTAATGTAGGCTATACTTAAATATTTCTCGTTTATTTATTACAAAAATAATGTACAATACAACATAACAAGCAATCAAAATGAAATCTAGACACAGCCTAAATCAAATGCATTGACTTTCACAATAAAACATTTTAATCTCATCATTTTTCTTACGTTATGTTCCATTACCAGCACGAACTTGCTTCAAATCGATTCTAAAATCTAGGGCAAACTAAAAAATTGCGTAACTTTAAAAAAAAAAAAAAAAAAAAAAAAAAAAAACTATTTCCAAATAAAAGTCAAGCCATCCATCCGACAAAGCTAAAATTAATTTCATTAACCGGCTTGAAACCGCTTAAAAATGATTGACTTGATTCCAAGTATTATAATTACACCTTAGCTAACAACAGCAGCCCTCGACAAAGAGCTCAATGAAACGCTTATAAAACATTTTTTTCACATTGTGCGCGTTAGCGCTGAACGCTGGGTGGTAATTATAGACTTAAGGAATATCCGATTTTAAAAAATATTTTTTTTTAAAAAGTAAGCTTAGTCGCTGAGCAATGGGATCAGTAAAAACTTTCTCTTTCGTAAGACGAAACAAAAATAAAAAATAAATGATATACAGTTTAGTATTGATAATTATAGTAGTTTGTAGGCGAGCGATTAAAAATGTGTCTATTACATAGGAGACAGTAGTATGCGAGTGAAGAGTATGAACAAAAAAAAATTGTTTTTAAATTATAGAGAGTCAAGCGAGAGGCAAACGGGGTTAAAGATAAGTATATGGTAGAGTAGGGGGCGTGGCCTTCAACGGATTTGGTCAAATGATGGCTCTTTGTTTGCTTCAAACTCACGCACTGTCGATTATTTGGTAGTTTAGGTGGGTGGGTGGGGGTCGGGGTGTGAACGGAGGGGTTCTCAGTTTGTTCATCAAATTACATTCATAACTAAAAGGGTTATTTAAATTATCAACTTTGTCACCCGAATATTAACCTAATTGAATGTGCTCTAGTCATAAACATAACCCAAAAGGCCAAAATATATAGGTTTCAATAAGAAATTAACGGCGAATTATTTATGAATAGTAAAAGTCGTTGCGGAACCACATAATTCTCCTATTAAAATCATACATTATAAGTGTGTTGCGTGTATTACTTTATATATGACTGTGTGTGCTCTGTATATAAAAATGTAAGTATAAATTGGCTTAGAGATTAGAGTTTTATTGCCGACTTACTTCCCTTTGTTCTGTTCAACTATGGCCTAGTGACTTAGTCATTGGTTACCCGCCTTTACTAGGGACAAATCAGCACAGGTGTTTAACACGGTCACAGTGTTGAGAAAGTGGGGGGGGGGGGGGGGGGGGGTTTGATGACTCTATGCTTTGAAACCGGATTCGTGTTGGTACGGCCTTGCTTACACAACACACCATAGGAACTTCACCATGGTCTTTGGGTGTGGGGAAAGAAATCAAAGCAAACAGGGACGTTCCACCCCTCCAACACTCTAGATACGCCACTGACCGGAAGTCAGTCCTTGCAATACGCACTTCCTTTCACATGTCGCTGTCTTATTGTATTTTAGTTTTCTACTTCGTTCTTCATTGTAATTTTAGAGTGTTTCTTTCAACAAAATTAAGAAGTATTACACTTCAATATGTTGTTATGCGCCATGTGGTCCGTTTACTACTGTCCTCCCCCCCCCCCCCCAACCTAGATTTCCATAGCCTTGTCCAGACAAGACCAACTTGTAAGACAACATTTGCTTGAGTTTTCTCTCCTAGATGGGTTGCTGCACCCAACTAAACGGCGCCACGGGGAACAACTTTTAATTTTGCGCCACCCCCCCCTCATAATTTTTTTATATTTATAATGCAAAACTGCAGCTTAAGTGTGCGTTTAATTTTTTTCCAACACATTTTGGCGCCCCCTAGAGTCGGCGCCCGGGGACATATTTGTACCCCCACCCCCCTCGCTACGCCACTGAGTCAGAACTCAGGTTACTTGGAAATCATCCGACGAAGGACGATTGAACCCTTATGGTTCTCTATCTTACACGTTTGATACAGTAGACGGGTGAGGGGTGGAGACAGGAAGACGAGCGACTTAAGCCCACACACATTAGTAATTACCACTGCTAGGCCTATTGTCGCATTACTAAGAAAATGCACATCTTGAACCGGATGTACAAGCCTGTGTAGCCAGATTTCTCGTCATGCCATTGTTACCAGTCAAAACATTTTTTTTTACCTATTCAATTTTTATCCCCTTTAAAATTTTAAACGGGCTGTTTCTTTTTACCCCCAGCTATCGAGTCGAACATTTCTTGGTATTAATTTCTCACGGCGGTTTCATTTTTCTTAAATTTTAAAAGGCCGTTATCGAATTTAAGACAGGGATTTAAAAAATCTCGAATTAAAATTTTGAAATGTTAACGAAATAATTTATTTAACCTATTAATAATTTGAGCTGTGTTTACCAGGGATATTATAAGATTGATCAAAATACATCTCGAATGTTAGTTTATTAATTTTAGCTGCGTTCGTCTATGAAATGGGAGATAAGCTCCGTTTTTCTATGAAATGGGAGATAACTATTATTAAACGACCACGGTCCAAGTAATTGAAACTATTCACCACTGCAAGTCAAAATTCAATTGACAGGCCCTGCCCCACTCATCCCTACAATTAATGGGCACCGCCCTTTTATATATTGGAAGTTGTCACCTTCTAGTGTATAAAAACTGACAGGCCACGCCCACTCGCCAATATCACCTCCACTCCCCCCCTCTAGGGTATACCCCATAAAAGACAATGCTCATTCTTTAAATGTATTTATAGCTACCGCCCACTGCTTAACGTCTTTAAAAAAGTCCCCTCCTATATCTCCATCGCTCTCCACAAAGTCAAACATACACGTTACAAACTCCGCCCACTCATGTTTACATTTAAGATGTACCATAGCAGACCACGCCCACTCGTTATAGGGTTTATAATTCACAAAGAAGATTTACCTCCCCCTTCTCATCTACATTTTATAGACCCGCCCTCTTACAATGTCGACGGAAACCCGCGTCCTGTTACGTATCAAGTTAAAGTCCCCGTCCTATGTGGCATACTCGAATGTATACAAGTTGATGTCCCCGTCGACTGAGTGGCCTAGCGGTGGTGAACTAGACTGCCATAAGTCTTAAGTTCGAATCCGGGTACAAGTCAGTAGACCGTCCCTTAGTCCACCCAGCTATGATAAGTACCTAACTCACGGTAGGGAAAGTAATGGCGCCTGAGTTTAGTGCTGACCACACTATCCCTTCTTATTCCGATTTCACAGAAATAGATGGATTCTACTTCACTTGCCCCATAGATCGCCCGGAAGGAGCACTTTACTACTTAACTATATCCACGGCATTAAGGTTTACAGTAAGTTATAATGTCCCCGTCACTAAAGTATATAAGTTAATGTCACCGTCTCTGTGTTATAAAAGTTGATATCCCCAGTACTAAAGTATACAATTTAACCTCCCCACCATCTCAGGTATAAAATCGACAGCCACATCTCTCTAAAACCGACAATCCCAACCACATCCACAAACCTCTACCACACTAATAAACATTTTAAAGTCGATAAAATCTTGATAAACTACTCACAACTAAATATATCAACTTCCTTAATTTAATCATCATTCAATTAGCCACCATACAAGTTATTAGCATAAAAAACGTAAGCATAAATTGAATTCAAGGGGAAGTAATCCCGAACGGCCTGTTGACTAGGTTACGGGAGAAGAGTAATTAAAATTGATGATATATGGTATAAAAACAAACAGAGTTATCGTCCTTCGTGGAGTAGTCTACCTTTTATCGCTGTTCCAATATTACAAAAACAATTCACTCAACACACAGCACAATCTACTTCAGTCTAATAACTATCTTTACAATCGCATGTCTCACTATAAAGAACAGATTTTTTTTCTTCTCCCTGAACCGAAAATTGAAAAATTTAATGCTTTGAGTATGCCCCATGCCCATATCTAGCGGCTATCTGTTCGGATACCGTTTTTTTTATTAATACATATTTACTACCCAGACGTCTGTGTTTGACTAGCAAACACATCCCCCACCCCCACCCCCTCTCTCCTCCCTCAGCATCTTATAATTCAACATCTGTCACTCGTGGCATGTAGGATCTACACGGGCAGATGTAACGGTTTAAATCTTAAGGACCCAGATATCTGACCTCGCTTGTGTCAAGACACGAAGGGCATGCGTATACGGGTGTGTGTATATATATATATATATATATATATATATATATATATATATATATATATATATATATACAGGGGCGTAGCGAGGGGGGGGGCGGGGGTGCGGATCGCACCGGGTGACACCATTTAGGGGGGGTGACACCAAGGCAAAATACATAGAGAAAAACTTGATGGTGGTGGGGGGGGGGGGGGGTGCAAATCGAAAGTTTGAGCAGGGGGGGGGGGTGCAAATCGAAAATTTGAAAGTTTGTCCCCGGGAAGGGTCGCTACGTCTCGGGGGGGGGGGGGGGTGACACCATTAAGTGCCGCACCGGGTGACACCCGACCTCGCTACACCACTGTATATATATATATATATATATATATATATATATATATATATATATATATATATATATATATATATATATATATATATATATATATATATATATATATATATATATATATATACACAAATATGTCTATTATTAGTAAAAGTTTTAGTGAATTAATTTCGGAAGGCAACCCCCCCTACCCTCGTTCCCCATTCAGCAAAGTAAGGGAACATACGACATTTGAAAACTCGGTCAGTTGTACCCACATCTCACCTAC